CTCTCTCTCTCTCTCTCTCTCTCTCTCTCTCTCTCTCTCTCTCTCTCTCTCTCTCTCTCTCGTACTTATAAACACATCAATGAAAAGCGCAAAATTAAACACTTATTTCATCTGACATTTAGTGTGAACTTAATTCCTGTGCTAACCCTTCGCTTCCTATACACAGAATATGTGTCTAAAATAGTAAATGAATAATAATTTTAGTCAAACTTTTTTCTTCATTCGTAGCCGTAGTTTCAGATATTCATTACAATTAAAAGTTTTATGTACAGTATTAACAAAATAAATTTTAATTATATTCATTAAAAATTTTTAACATTTGTATACATTATTATAGATTAAAATTGTTATATTAATCCTACATTAAAAGGTTTATTAAAATTATTTTTATTTTATTAAATTTTATCTGATCTGTGAACTATTTTGGGTGTTTTTGAATATATTTTGCATTAAATTTTAATCTTATCTGTTATAACGATTTCTATACACAATGTATTGTAATGGATATAACTTTTGTTATAAATTTTAATATTTTTTACTGTATATAATGTCTGCACAGTATTATACAGTATTATTTCGTAATTTCAATAGTTATTTCGTTATTTTATTTATTAAAATCCGAGAAATATTCAATTTCTCAAAAAAGTTGGGCTAAAAATACACACAACAAAAGACTGGATTTCTTCCGAAATATAATATTTTTATATTGAATATCAAAATTCATTTATTATTTGATGGAAACACACGTTTTGGTATAAATCTGTAGTTTATATTCATTTACATCACATAAATCTGTGTTGGAATTGAAGGCAAATACAAAAATAAAAACAACTTTTTTCGGTTATGTTTTTTTAGTTTTACTTCGCTTTTCGCTGTCAAAACTTTTTACATTTAGTTTTATTATCGGCCAGAATATGGGCACAGAATAGTTGTGTGCGAATAATGCATACTATGTTTTGTGCTGTCAATAAATTATATGCCAATGAATTATATTCTGTCAAATGATTTATAAAATTCTGGTGCGATATATGACTGAAAGTAATAATAAAAACAAACCGTTTTATTTGTCGCCTCATACTATGTTTTGTGCTGTCAATAAATTATATGCCAATGAATTATATTCTGTCAAATGATTTATAAAATTCTGGTGCGATATATGACTGAAAGTAATAATAAAAACAAACCGTTTTATTTGTCGCCCCAGAAAACAGCCCACAAAACACATCACAGTTTTATTATTGGTATTTAGTATTGGTTTTTACTATAAGAATGTATGAAAAAGACAAACACCAGTCCTGTCCTAAACTATTGCCCGCAAAACCAATGCGTTTGACATAAATGGCAATAAAAATTATATTTATTAATCTCTATATCTCTGTCTATCTCTTTATATATTTGTCAGATACGTCTACATATGCCACCCGACGACTGCCAAGAGCTGGTGCACCAGACCTCGTGTCCTAAAGACCACAATCGGCTTATTTTTGACGGCATTTGTCACACAATTAAGCCGTTTCTTTGACTCGAAGTACGAGAGCTTTCAGATTGAGTGGAGGGGACGACTGGAGTGGGCCTGTAGTCGAGATATCGCCGATTGGGTGCACAGTTTGGTCGGCGTTAATATCTATTTCCCCACGTATTACGGCTTTCGTATACTATTTGTGAACGTCGGCCCGTGTCTGGCGTTAGTGGCACTCAATGTACTGCTCTTTCGGGCGCTTAAGGTATGGTATGATAATTGTCTTGAGATGTGCTGTGCTATGGGATGCATGGGATTTGCGGCATATAATATAGTAATCTAGTCATTGAACGCCGTATGCCATTGTAAACACTCATAAATCACAAGTTAATAATAGACTCACAATTTTTGGCATCACTTTTGTAAACACTATTGAAGAGACAATTTTTACGAACACTTGAATTCATACTTTTATCATATATAGTATAATAAGACATATTTCTGACAATTTATTCTCTCTCTCTCTCTCTCTCTCTCCTCATATTTATTATTATTATTTTCTTTTGTGACAAACATTTCATTCATGGGATAACTTATTCTTTGTATTTTGTTATTCACTTTCTTATGTGTTATATATTTTTTGTTGTTGTGTACAGTATTTCACATACCATTTCTCTTACGGCTAATAAAACTTGTTATAATCTAAATGTGTTTCTATTGTTTGTTTGCCATTTGACTGACAGAAAGCCCAGAAGAAGAGAAAAATCCTATTTAAAGACAAGAAGACTAACGAGTCTAAGAAGACCCGGGACTCCAACTCCACGACATATATGCTTATAGTTGTGGTGACAGTGTTTCTGATGGTAGAGATACCGATGGCCGTCGCGACACTCATCCACATAATGGCCAATATGGAAATCATCCCATTCGCCAACGAGTACTACCAGTATCTGAAGATCACCATATTGGTCTCCAATTTTATCATAATGCTTAGCTTTCCCCTAAACTTTGCCATATATTGTGGAATGTCTGCCAAATTTCGCATCACATTCAACGAGTTAGTGATCAAAAGGTTTCGCACCGGTAGACAGGCCTCAGAGCCCAACCATTACACACACGTCTCGATGTCCACAAGTCTTTGAGAGTCGACCACTTTTTTCCCCGTTATTTATTACCGCTTCCAACGATATTAATCGATAAATTGCTATATATTTTGTATATAAATATTAATGAATAAATAATATGTGATTATAAGTGAAATGAAAATTATATAATATGTTATTCATATTAAATATTAAATGTATAATAAAAATAAGTATCGTTTAAGAGTAGTTTTTCGTTAAAAACATGTATTAACTGTAAATTCAATGCATATTTAATGAGCGTTTTTTATTTAATGTATAACTAGAGCTTATTATTTAAATTTTTATTATAAAAACTAAATGTTTTATTTGCTTAAGAATTGTATACCAAGAAAGCAGACAAAAACATATATAATAAAAACGATTCATTTGTTTGCAATAAATATTTCATGTTTTACTTTACTTTACAAGAAAAATAAATTTATAAAATATTATACAAACCAACGATACAATAGAGTAAAAATTTATCGCAACAAAAAAGTAGTTTTTATTTAAATTTTTACTTTTTAACTATTTTCTAAGGGCCGACTCCTGCGACCATTAGTTTGAAATTTATAAATATTAATGCATTCATTCATTCATACGCTAAGAAACCCATAAGAAAATTCAAAAACAACATTTCCTTTTCCATTATATCTACCATTGAATCGAGTTATACATGCTTTTGATTTATATGAATGTCGTTTATTGTCAACTTAGGGTCTAATAAATTGACACAAACTTAATCGTAAATTGTATGCAAATCATTGGCGGCAAATGGCAATGCGTTTTCACTGTTATATAATTTACAAATGTATAAAAAACTAAATACTTTCTCTCTTTTCTCACAACACTTTTCTAACACTCTTCGCGACTATTATTCACTCACAAAACACTTGACTTTATATTTTTGTTTCATTTGACAAAACAATTAATTTTCCACATTATGTGCTTTTATTTGAATTGCAATTATCCGTGTGCCACAAAAGTGGCATGCACAATTCAGTAAGTATCAAATACTCGATGGAAATACCATGTACACATTATTGGCCATATAGAGTGTATCGTTCATTACATTAATATCAATTGACAATATCTGTGATATTTTTGTTACCCATTTTATTGGGCAATAAGTGAATGGATTCTGTGTTACGACAGAATTGATAGCGAAATGGAGTCAATGAAAAAGAGACTATAAATCAAAATACGATATGATTTATAACTATTTCATTAGTTTCAGCACCACTTTTGGGGTATAATTACTGTAATTCATGACCAAAAATAGGATAAATCTCTGAATGAAAAAACCACTTTAATCACAACACCACTGGAAAAACTCATTATATCTTATTTTGTGAATTGCTTTGAAATTATTGTAAAATAAACAAAAGTAATTACCGGTAAAAGTAAATAATATTATAATTTATTAATTATGCAAAATTAACAATTATTCATATGGTGCTAAATTTGAGTAGTTTATTGATCCCGACATTTATTTGCCAATAACTTAGATTTACAATAAATAATTTTTATATCAAAATATTTAACGAATTGTTAGTTTTATACACAAAACAAAATTATGAATTAATCGCTGAATTTGTGATAAATTAATTCATATAAAATAATATAATCAAAACTTCATTCCCTTAATACTACCAATATTATAGTTAATACATATTTATATATGGTGTGTGCTAAGAATAAAATATACTTGATACAATATTTACTGTTTCTAGATTTTTAGCCAATTAGTTAATAAATATTTAATAATTAATGTATTGTATTTTGTTTGATAAAAATTTAATGTGAGTATACATCAAAATAACACAAAATGTTGATTAATACATGTGTAAATACATTAATGAATAAAACAACAAATGGGCTTAAATTTAATTAGTATTCAAAGACAATAATTCATATATATTTCGTAAAAATAAATTATGAAATAATTATAATTAATGAAATTTTACTACACTTTTTAGTTAATGGATATTAACATTATTTTAAAGCTCTTAATATTTATATCACATACAATTTAATTCAATGATTTAACAATAAGAGTGTATTTACAATAAATTTATACAATTAATTCATTAACGAAATAACAAATTTACATTTAATGTTTTGTTAATTCCTATATTTTACATTATAATAATAAATTACACGTTGATATATCATTAGCATTAATATATTTACTTGATATCTTTATTGAATATATTTATAATGGTATATTTTCATTTACGATATCTAATTAGATGCATTGTATATAATTTTAATGAACAAATACTATGGTAAATATTAATAAATTATAATTATAAGTTAATTTATTTACAAAATAACATTATGTTATTACAAAAATATTTATATCCAACACATTATGAAAATCGTTCATAAATTAGTTGAAAAATATATCCAAAATATACAACACTTTTTTGTACAAAACCATCGTTTCTTAACACACAATTCACACGTCAATCAAACTCTTAATTAAATAATGAATAGTTAATTAACAGCTGATATAATACAGTATAGAGTACTGTATATAACTGCTCATAGATTGGTAGCTGTGGTGACAGCAGACTTTGATCCCTGGACCTGATCTCTCAGTTTCTTAATAAATAATTGACTAAACGTTTCCCTAAACTGACGACTCATTCCGCAATAAATGGCAAAATTAAGCGGAAAGCTGAGCATGATGATAAAGTTGGTGATGAGCACGGTGATTTTCAAATACTTGAAATTCTCTTCGGGAAACGGTATGATCGCAGTGTTGGCCAACACGTGGATGAGTGTCGCCACAGCCATCGGGAACTCCACCATCAAGAATACGGTGACCACAACTATAAGCATATAAGTCGTCGAATTCGAGTCACGAATATTCTTGGATTCTGTGTTTCGTTTGTCGGCAAACAGTTTCTTGCGTTTCCTCTGCGCTCTCTATTCAATGAACATAAAAAACGAGATGAAAATACTATTAATCATAACAAAAAACGATAATTTATTATATATTTTCAATCAAAAACACATTTGTTTTTATATAAATGTAGTTTAAAACACATTAAAGTTGTATTTTGTTTTGTTGTTCTGTCCAACAAAACATAATAAAACATAATAAATATAATATACGATACCTTCAATGCCATGAATAGAAATACGTTGAGTACAACCAATGCAAGACACGGACCCATATTGACGAAAATGATGCGAAACCCGAAATACAGCGGAAAGTAATAGTTTTGTATATTCACCACCCATTCGGCCATCACCTGCTGACACGCCTTGTGGTGAACGCCATTGGATTCAAACTCTATTGACTCGTATTGAGAGTCGAGGAAACGACCGAATTGTGCCGAAATGGCCAAAATGAATATGGTGATTATGGCACGGCTCACTCGCGGTATCGTACACCATGTCTTGGCCAACACCGGGTGACAAATGTAGATATATCTGGTTTTTCAAATAAACAATAAATGTTTGTAATATTGATTTAATATATTATTCAACTTATACTAAAAATACTGATATGAAAAATATATGTTGTATATCATCTTAAGAAATCATTGATTTATTCAAACATTATTTATTTTTTATGACTTCATTCGTTTCCATTGTATTCCTTCGCAATCATAACAATAAAAAAAATATAGAAAACCATTTAAAAATAAAACAGATTTTAAATCTCATAATTTATAAGTGAAATGACTCTTGATATTTAGATTTACAGACAATTTTGAGTTTTCTCTCTCAAAGCAGACAATGAGAACGAAAGGCAAATATTTTATTTATTTGTCTCCCATTTATTCAATGAATCTTAATATTTGTCATTTGATTGGATTCACAATAAGAAAGGGAGAATATTCCCAGAATATTCTTTCCCACTCTCTTTCTCTCCCCATCTTTTGATTTTATTTAAATTCTTTGCTTATATTTCTCTCACAGAATATATATATCATGTCATCAAAAGAATTTCTAAATATTTCTAGTATTTAAGCCAACATTTATTCTGTATTTTCGGGCAAAAAAAGCTTTTATTTACGATAGAAAGCGGAAAAGACTTTTCAAATACATTTAAAAATAAATATATAGATATCTGTTGTTTGGGATCTTAAAAGAAATTATATGAGAGCTTTGGACAGACATAAAGAATTGTTATATCTATTTGAGTGAAATTTTCTCTACTTTCCGCTGAAAAAACGAGAAAAAATGATATTTAATTAAATTGTCATTTGAGTGAAAGAAATACAACAAAACATTGGATCCAAATTGAAAACAAAAACAAAAGTTTTTTGTTTTAAAAAATAAAATGAGATTTCCGTCAAAATTAAATCTCCGTTTCTTTTAAAACTTGATTTTCTCGTAAATGACTTGTGAATTGAAACGAAAAAACACACATAAAATATACTTTAATATATTATTCAAGTTTTTATGGGACAGACGTGTTGTCGCTATAAATGACACCATAATGTAAAGTACTGTATATATTAAATACATTACTTTAAATATATAAACTAATATAAACCACTGCTGATAATAATTCAAGAATATATAAATATTAACTCAAAATATATAATAAGTCTCACAAGTGAATATAAATTATATAATACAATAATATTGTTATCTAGATTATAGTTATAATAAAAAGCTGCACAAATACCTCTGTCCGGCCAATAGTATGGTTAGCCATATGGAGGCCGTATGGAAAAACATGGGAATCACTTCAATCATCGATGAATAGGCATAACAGGCCGCCGGCGGGTGCAGTAGCTCTGAATGATAGCCCAGAGTATACATATAAAAGTACCATGGTGACGGAAACACCAAGGTTAACATATCGGCCACCGCCATAGAAAGTAGGACCAGATTGGTTGGGGTTCGCATGTGTTTCTGTGCCAACACTAACACAATCAATAAGTTGGCCACTAATGTCATAAAGAGTAGAAACGGCATAATATAGCCGTACATAACCATCGCGTACTCAATGGGTGTGGTTTGGGTTATGTTAAACAAGCGGTGCATTGACTCCTCGGCCGATGTGTTGCCGTCGAAGACGGTATTATCGTAGGAATGGTTCCCATTATGACTGTTATATAGAGTGTCGCTATTATTGCTTGAGTTATGGGAAAGCGTTAATGAAAGCGACCATAAATTTTGGCCATAACTGTCGCCGACTTGTATGCCATCCATTAGGCTATTAGCCGTTTGCGTGTAGTTTTCATTCAACTTATTATCCATTATTTTATTGATTTATATATTTATTTTTGTTTTTGTTTCGGTTTTGATGTCTATGTTGTTGTGAAAGAGTGAGAGAAGGAGTGAAAGTGTTTTAATACACAAACCGTACAAATCAAATGCGACCAAAGCTGGGCTTAACGAGCGATTGATTTAAATTTCCTTAACTCCCAGAATAAGTCCAGAATATTCTTATAGCACTTATAACACGATATTATTATATTTATTTATTATATAATATAATTAAAATTGATTTATAGTGGACTCGAATTTCCTTAATTTGTACTAGTTAATCCCATTCAATCCAGAATTAAATCTGTAAATAAATGATATATAAATTAGTTTAAATTGATAATAAATGTTATGCAGTATATATGCAAATAAGTTAGACATTAGAATTGCATGAATAAATTGATAGTTTAGAGAGAGAGAGAGAGAGAGAGAGAGAGAGAGAGANGTATATATGCAAATAAGTTAGACATTAGAATTGCATGAATAAATTGATAGTTTAGAGAGGGAAAGTGAGAGAGAGAGAGAGAGAGAGAGAGAGAGAGCAAAATAACACATAATAAACATAAAAAGTAATATAATTTTCAAATAAGTAGTGAATATAAAACTCGAGTCTCGCCTAATGTCATGGCACAGGAATCATAGATTGCATTGCATTTACATTACGTGGAAAAAAGTATAAATTTGTTTGTCTTTCGTTTGCAGACATTTTTGCCGTCATTATTGCTTCTCATAAACATTTCTTTCTCTTTTAACCAGAATTAAAGTCAATATATTTTACTTATTTTTCGGCGAAAAATTAAGTGACAAAACAATTTAGAGAGCATTTGGAGAGAGAGAGAGAGAGAGAGAGAGAGAGAGAGANCTTTTATTTTGTTATTATTCTCTCACAACTCTCTTCTATTACACACTTCTTTCTCTTTTAACCAGAATTAAAGTCAATATATTTTACTTATTTTTCGGCGAAAAATTAAGTGTCAAAACAATTTCGAGAGCATTTGGAGAGAGAGAGAGAGAAAGAAATGGAGTCGTTTGCCAATTACTCTTATAATAGCTGTTAAAGAGTTCATCAAAAATATAATGGAAGTCATCAAAGATAAGGATAATGTCTAATGAAATATAGGAGAGACTATAAAAGCATAAATGGATACAAAACAACAAAAAATTTCATCACTTTTGTTGCCGATTCTCTCAAACATTAATTTCACTTAACAATCAATTAAAACGGTTAATGATTTATTTAATAACATTTTAAATACATAACGAAACGAATAAAAACAAAAATTTTAAATATTCACAGAATATTCTGCATTTGATAGACACTAAAAATAAATGTCTATAAATTTATGCAAAATATTCTTTACATAATAAACCAGAATCCGATTCTTAACGTTTAAAACTTAAGCCCAAAGAATATTCTATTTGTGTAATACTTTATAGTATAAAGTTTACTATAAAAAACTTTTTCATAAATGTATTGATAAAAAAACTGAGAGAAAAAACAAAAACCTTTAAAAATGAGAAGAAATTTTGTTTCTCAACCAAACAAAAAAGGCATTAATTTTAATCTATTGAACTCGTATTTAAACTGTTATCCATTTCATCCATCCTTTTTCATTCAAATTCATATGTTTTTTATTCATTCGTTGTGTATATTATAAGTGAAGAGAAAGAAGTGTGTAATAGAAGAGAGTTGTGAGAGAATAATAACAAAATAAAAGTTGTGAAAAATTTTTGGTCATTAAAATGAATGATTGGTGTGAATGAAAAATCTTTAAATACTTTAAGCAAACATAAAGAGTTTCACATCAAAGATGGAGAGAGAGAGAGAGAGAGAGAGAGAGAGATTTTGTTGTATAATGAATTGCACTTAATTTATTTTCTTGATTTATTTGAACAAATTTTTTAATTAATATAAAAATTCTTTATAATATTAGTATATTTATTATACTGTATGGATAAATTTTAATTTATATAGAATAATACAATGTTTTACAACTGGTTATTTGTGTTTGTCAAAAGAATTTATAATTAATGTTTAAACACATGGTTAAAATAGTTAAACAATTTAAAATTTAACGTAAATATTATGTTGACTGCAAAAACAATATTGTTTCTCATAGTGTTGTATAAAAATGTTATTTACTTAAAATTCCGTACATTTATTAAACAAGACATGAATCGAGAGAAAGGCATTCATTGAATTGTTTTCTTTCCAGTAATAAAAAGACTTTGCATTAAATGAACAAAAAATTTACTGCAATTTAAATTCTGTTGAGAAAAAACTGGTACTTTATTTAATACATTAAATACAATACACACACCATCTTCTTATAGACTCTTAAAAATAATAATATAATTTCTCTCTCTCTCTCTCTCTCTCTCCAAATGCTCTCTAAATTGTTTTGTCACTTAATTTTTCGCCGAAAAATAAGTAAAATATATTGACTTTAATTCTGGTTAAAAGA